TGGACGGACGGACGGATGGACGGACGGACGTACGACGGACGACGACCCATGGCAATAGCTTAGCTTGACGATGTCAAGGTGAGCTAAAAACATACATCACCTAAGGCTATATCTGTAATCAACAGGGTATAGGAAACATGTTACTTCTACTGCTGAGTATACTGTTGTATCCAAACATACCTGGAGAGCTCCAATTCTTTGTAGGCACCATCACTTTCGTTAATTCCAATGTATTGTGTTCTATCCGTCTCTGCTACCTGTGCATGGAAACATATGCACTAGAGCCACTACACTTGCAACCACAGACATGTATGTGAGGTCGGATTCTGGCTCCACTTCACAACACAAAAATGTGTAGCTTGACACTGACTACAACGTAAGCTCCAATTAATTACTATATTTAGTTAGACGCAAATGTAAAGAAATGTTTTATAAGTTTATAATGTTTTACATGTTTTCAAATGCTTAGAATGCTTACAAGTATGAACACCTCATACAAAGTTGCTAATTAAAATACCAACCAGTTGTCTTTTCCTTTTTACACCTTTTTCTTGGCTGGTGCTTTTAAAATATCCAAAAGCTGGCGGTTTCTTACAGATACCAGACTTATCGTATCTAAGTTTTCCATTGCTGAAACTAGCTGTGCACAAAACAATACTTAAATTATTGTACAATTAAGTATCATATAAAAACAAGAAGAAGCAATTGCATAAGTAATCTCTAGAACTTATCAACACTGTAAAAGATAGTTATTCTCTGATGGGATAATCCAACAGATATTGCACATGTCTACACATAGGTACCCAAGTATAAGTAAACAAGGTTAGCATTATTTACTAATCATAACGTCCAAGGATTCAAATTACGGAGTCCACTAAACTGTTATAGGCACAGGTTTAGCACATGGAGATACTTATATCATGTTATTTTTAGTAAACAACTTACCAAGCAGTATTGGACTGCAACTGCTCATCAGCTCAACCTGACAGATGCTTTCAGTTTCACACATAGCTGTCTGTAAATAGAACAAAACAACCGTCACAATGACAATAATCAACTGAACTATAACTTAAATAATGGTATAGTACATACACCATAAATCAACTATGAGACAGAATCATGCTCCTGAGTACCTCTAATCCACCTCCTCCAAGTTATTGTTGTTCCAGCAGTTGTGCTGTGCAAACCTCTACTGCTTAAACCTTTATTCTCCATTTTTTCTCCATGACCCATGCTGTCTATGGTCGTACACACACTAGTGACCACTGGTCGGCGTGCTTGGGGGGTGGTACGGTCCATGGTTGGGGGGTGTTAGGGGCCGTGCTTGGAGGTGTTAGGGGCCGTGCTTGGTGGTGTTAGGGGCCATGCTTGGGGGTGTTACGGGCCGTGCTTGGTGGTGTTAGGGGCCGTGCTTGGGGGTGTTAGGGGCCGTGCTTGGTGGTGTTAGGGTCCGTGCTTGGGGGCGTTAGGGCCCGTGCTTGGGGGTGTTAGGGGCCATGCTTGGTGGTGTTAGGTACCGTGCTTGGGGGTGTTAGGGTCCGTGCTTGGCAACGTCACGTGATTGGGCCTGTGGGTGCTCCAGGGTGCGTGACTATAGGATTGGGCCCCAACTTCTTGGATACAATAATGTAACCTAACAAGGCTAGAGTTGAGTAGATACAATAATGTAACCCAACCCTACTCTTGTTGAGTTACATTACCGTGGGCTATTGTATCTATGTATGACTTCCATACTCGAGTCATGATACTGATTACCCCTGTGTGCTCGTGAGTGTGCAGTGCAGTGCAAAATATGACAAACAAAACTAACAATAGTGTGAAATTTACACGAATATTGAGTGTAATAGAGTTGACGCGTGGTGTGCTCTAGCTTAGTAATTCGTCTCGATAATTTCGCAATATATTATAAGAGTTATTAGTAAACGCCGTTTAAATGTTTATCACTACGATAAATGGATGAACCGAACTTACGGGGGCAGCCATTTTTAATCTCGACCTTTCGCGCGAGAATTCTCACGGTCGCATACCAAGTTACCAACACATTATTACAATGTATACATAATTACAATGTATGTACAATGATCAATTAGGCGCTGCTCGAGTTCATGAGCTATTTATCCACACAGACACAGGCACTTGGAACGTCTCAATCAAAAAAAATAATGGTAAATAAACACGAAATGTATTTACTACCTACCAAAGTCTCTACTCGAGAAATCAACTCGGGCTCTGGCATCTCAGTGGGCCCCCAGGAGTCCCAACCATGTACATATAGGCAAGAGTAGATAAATAACATGTTATTTATCTACTCTTGATATAGGCTATAGCCCTCATATAGATAGTAGAAATACTTTGTTAAGTAGAATAACGGTAGAGGAGGTGCGGCTTAGAATTAAGCTAAGTAAGACGAGGTACCAAATGAATTTCTAAAGTTTGGAGGAAATTCCTAGTCAAAGCACTAACGGTCCTCTTTAATAAAATTCTACAGTCACTGGAGTTCCCAGATTCATGGAAGAAATCAAAAGTATCATTAGTCTATAAGGGTAAAAACTTGCGATGACTCCAGCTTTCTTGCCAAAACTACAAGACGATTGCCGTTAACGATAGCAACGTGAGTACAGTTATTTATGGGAATTTATTAGAGATCGACTGGAAAAATTGTAGGAAGACTCAAAGTATTGTTGGGAGAGGTTCACAGAATGCGTGTCAGCGAGGCATCCGGTGCCGGCCGAGATAATTATATTCCTATTGTCTGTTGTGTGTGATGTGTCGTGTGTTGGTCGTGCTGTGCTGTGTTTTTCTTTGTGTGTGTGTGTGTGTTGTGGTGTTGTGGTGTGTGTGGCCTGCTGTGTGTTGTATGTAGTGTGTGCTGTGGTGTGTGTAGTGGGTGCGTGTGTGTGTGTTTGTGTGGGTGGCGTGTGTGGTGTTCTGTGTGCTGCGGGGTGTGTTGTGTGTGAACGTGTGTGTCTGTGTGTGTTGCTGTGTGCTGTGTCGCTGTGTGTTGTGTGTGTGTGTGGTACTTCTGAGGCTGTGCTGTGTGTGTGTACGCGTGTCGAGTCGGTTGTAGTGTATGTGTGGTGTGTGTCTTATGGTGTCCTGTGGTCTGATGTGGCGCGGCTGTAGTGTATGCGTCGATGAATATGTGCTGTGTAGGTGTGTGCTTTATGCGCGCGCGCGTGTGGATTAGCTTGTCCGTTTCATGCGTGTGTACCGTGTGCTGTGGTGTGGTGTGTGGTTGTGCGTGTTTATGCATCAGCGCGCCGCGTTGTGGCGTGTGTCGCGCGCGCGTTGTGTGCTCCTGATGTGTGCCGTGTGTGTTCGTGTGTGTTGCTGGTGTTGCGGTGTCGTCCGGTGCCTCGTGCTGGCGATGACGTGGGTTGTGTGTGTCCTGTGTGTGCGGTAGCGTCGGGTGTGCGTGTCAGTGTATGTGCTTTGTGTGATGCGTGTGTGATGTGTCTCCTCTTGTGTTTATTGCGCTCTACGTGCCGGCCGTGTGTGGCGGTCGGCTGTGTATTGTGTTTTGTGTTTGTGTATGCGTGGTGTGTGTTATATGCGGCGGCGGCCGTGTGTGTGGATGTGTTCTTCTTTTATTTCTTCTTTACTCTTTTTCTTTTTTTCTTTGCTGTTTGTGTCTTATGTCGGTGTGTCGTGTGTGTGGGTCTGCTGCTGTGTGTAATTTCCTTGTGTGTTGTGTGGTGTTGTGTATGTGTGTGTGTGTTCACTGCCGCTGTCGTGGTGCTGTAGTGCCTGTGCAGTGCGTGTCGTGTATGGGTGTTGTGTGCTGTCTATGTGTGTGTGTTCTATGTGCGCGTGTAGTATGTCTCAAACGCTTTTGCCTTCTGTCAGTCTCTTCTCTGCCGCGTTGGTACATGGTTGTAAAACACCCCGCGTATGTGGTGGTGGTGTGTGTTTTATGCGCGACGCGCGTGTTTATTGTGTTTAGCGTGTGCTGTGTGTTGTATGGGTGTTCGTGTGTGTGTGTGTGTGTGTGTTGTGCTGTGTGTGTGGTGTGTGTCGCTGTGTGTGTGTTTAATGCGCCCGCGCTCGCGGTGTCCTCTTCGACTCGCCATGTGTGTGTGTGCAGCCCGCGCGTTGTGTGTTTGGGGTGTGTGTGTTGTAGTGGTCCTGGGTTGCGCCTGTGCTCGCTGTGTGTGTGTGCGTGAACCGCACCCTTATCTCTCCCGTGCCAGTGCGTGCGTGTGTGTGTGTGCTGTGGTGCGTGTAGCGTCTAGTGTGATGGCGTGTAGTGTATGTGTTTGTGTATGCGTGGTGGTGTGTGTTTATGCGGCGGCGGCGCGTGTGTTGTATGTGTTTGTGTTTGTGTATGCTGCTTGTGTGGGCTGTGTTTATGCGCGCGCGCGGTGTGTGGATGTGGTTTGTGTTTGTCTATGCGTGTGTGTGTGTGTGTGTATGTGTGGTGTGGTGTGGTGTGGTGTGGTGTGTGTTTATGCACCGCGCGCGCTGCCCTGGTGGGTGTGTGCGCGCGATTGTTGTGTGTGGTGTTTGCATGTGTGTGTATGTGTTGTGTGTTGTGTGTTGGTGTGTATGTGGTGTGTTGCGTGTGTGTGTGTGTGTGATGGGTGGTGTTGTGTGTGTGTGTATGTGTAAGCAGAACGTTCTGCACCACCTTATGACTGTGCATGCGTGGACTTAGTATCTCATAAATTAACCCAATGCTTCAGCAGGTGTCGTAACACATGTAATGGAAAACCATTAAACCTTAAATTCCTTTGGACTTCAACAAAGTTATACTTGGTGGATAGCGAGATAAATTATCTAGGGATCGATCTAAAAAGCAATAGTTTGTAATGGGTTGGTGAAACTGGTGGAGTCTTACTTACTAAAACAATGAATCAAACGATAAGTATACGGATTTGTTTTTTGGGAATCGGATTGGGAATTAGCATCTAATGCTAGTTTGAAGCAGGGCTTTGCCTTGTTATCACCATCCTGGTTCGGGCATTGTTTATCAAGAATTATCTACTAGGCCCTTCGTAACCCAGGCCATAATGGATTTGTTGCATCTGAGGTAAATAGCTTGCGGGAGTTATATCGCGCAATGATGTGCGTTCCTGCCTAGCAGAGACATAGCAGTTATAAAATGGAAAGTATTTTGAGCATTGCCGCAGGTACTTCTGCAGAAAATTTTCGAATGGTTTTTGCGAGAAAACAGAAATCTCCGAAATTCAGTATTCTCAAATAAGCGCGATAGATGAGCCACAGGGGTCTATAAAACACTGAAAGCAATGAATTCTGCAGCAACAGTATCTGAAACAAGTTTACCTGGTAAAGCATCTAGTGACAATTTCGATAAAACTGCTTACAACAGCATGAGGATGATTACTACGGAAAAAAAGCCAAGAAGAATACAGGGGAGCATAGCCTTCGAAAGTATATTCTTATAGCTTTCAATAGATATTGGGTGGGTAGGAGCTTTTGCAAGCCAATTGCACAGTGCCTGGCCACTGAGCGTATACAAATGAAGCCTAGTTATTTAAGATAAACCAGGCTAGGAACTGTCACTGCTCCTACCGGCACTAGAACAGGATTAAACCAGCTGGGAAGGGATGTTTACTAGGGGTCACCTCTCTATGGGGATGGAGAGTATTAGAGGCGGAGATGCGGGATGGTCAACTTTTGAGAGAGAGAGCCAAAAAAGTAAATTAAATATTGGGGCAGGATAAAATAATGAAATAGTAACGTAAGTAAACAGGATAGGCGGAAGCAATGGAATGGGCGAATTCAGATTCAGACTTTGGAGAGGAGAACTAGTTCCTCATAACAAAGCTTTGACTCGGATCAGGAGTCAAGACAAAGAGTTAACGGGGGGCTATAAGAATGGAAATGTTAGAGTGGATAAGAGCCAATTAAACAGAGTGTACGTACTACGAATGGAAAAAAGGATAGAAAACCAAGATTCGCTAGGATTGTATAAAGGAAAAAGGCGCCTGGTAACGAGTCCTTTTATGATAATAGACTTGGAAAGTAGCCTACTGCTCATTTCAAAGCAGCGGCGCTGCCCGCACGCTCTCCATTTCCCCGTGCTTGCCACTAGAAATAACGCACTAGACATGCGGGCAGAGTGAATAGATAAATGCTTAATTTGTGGGAGAGGAAGTTGGCAGACCCTGGCAGCACTATTTTACTAGAGATGTCCCTGTTATGAAACATAGTTTTTTTAATAAATATGATTAAAAACGTAGAAACATTGAGGCAACAGAACCTCACAGACATGCAGGAGGAGCCCTCTCTAAAACTCTCCTGGGGTTAGGGTAGCAGCGCAGTCCTTATTACTTATATTTAGCTTACTAACACAGTACCTGGAGATACTTTGGGGAGCTAGATCAGCTGCACTCACAAATCTATAAGGGGATACGAAATTCTTCTCTCTTTTTTTTCTTTTTTTTTTGTAGTGAAATACCGATTTAAAGGTTTCCAGTCATACATACATACCAGGAGCGTATAATGACAAATATTTGTCATTATACGCTCCTGATACATACATACATACTCGTTTCGCCTTTATGCGACAAAACTGCCTGAGTAAATGCGCTTCAAATGCGCCATCTGCAACACCACATAGTACACCGCCACCGTCCGCACGCCGCTTGTGCATAAACAACAAGAATAATAGAGTAAAAGAAGAAGAAGAATGCGAATAGAAGAAGAATAGTAATAGAAGACGAAAAGACTATTATCTTGTTGTTTGTGCACAGGCGGGTGCGTGGCGGGTTTGCGCATATATCGGTAAGAGTAAGATAATTGTCCTAATTGTATATAGCGGCCCATTCTGTCCTATTATATATAGCGGGCTTATTAAATGTGTTCCTACTCGTATAAATAGCCGGCCATCATTAATTTTCCTACTCGTTATATATAGCGGCATATTAATTGTCCTACTCGTATATATAGCGGCATATTAATTGTCCTACTCGTATATATAGCGGCATATTAATTGTCCTACTCGTATATATAGCGGCATATTAATTGGGTCCTACTCGTATATATAGCGGCATATTAATTGTCCTACTCGTATATATAGCGGTATATTAATTGTCCTACTCGTATATATAGCGGCATATTAATTGTCCTACTCGTATATATAGCGGCATATTAATTGTCCTACTCGTATATATAGCGGTATATTAATTGTCATACTCGTATATATAACGGCATATTAATTACCATACTTGTATATATAGCGGCATAATAATTGGCCTACTCGTATATATAGCGGCATATTAATTGTCCTACTCGTATACATAGCGGCATATTAATTTTCCTACTTGCATCAGTGCGATTTTCATAATTTAATTATAGGCCTATATAGCGGCATATTAATTGTCATACTCGTATATATAGAGGCATATTAATTGTCCCACTTGCATCAGTGCGATTTTTATAATTTAATTGTATATAGCGGCATATTAATTGCGTCCTACTCGTGTATAGAGCGCCATATTAATTGTCCTACTTGCAGCAGTACGATTTTTATAATTTAATTGTACTAACCAATATTGTAAATAATTGTGTAATTAATAAAAAAAAAATAGTAAAAATATTGTAAAATTTCTATTTTATACATTATTACATTTCCACGTCATTACATCGTTAGCAAGTTTCAATTACCAGTTGCTCAATGTTGTCTGTAGGAGTGTGGGTTCACTTAGGATGGGAGATATATCTCAGCTAACCACTGAGGCAGTCTTGACATGAGTAATAAAAAGTATTCACTCTGTGATAACAGGGACAATATGAAGTAAGCAGTAACACCATTTTGATTTAGTAAAACGTGTTTAATTGAATGTAAACATAACAATTAATGCAAAAATATATAATCAATTTATCACAATTATACTTTTAGTTAGTAGTGTAAATAAATTATGGTAATACTTTTTAGCTGCTAATATGAATCAATTATGGTAATACATTTTAGCTGCTAATATGAATCAATTATGGTAATACATTTTAGCTGCCAATATAAATAAATTATGGTAATACATTTTAGCTGCTAACATGAATAAATAATTTTTTGCTAATGCTTTAGTTACTATAATCTCAATTTTTTTCTTCGGATATTTGCAGTTACCATAGGCTTAAATACTAAACATAAAAATAACTGGTAAGTATAGTACTAAAATCACAATTATACTCTTAGTTAGTAGTGTAAATAAATTATGGTAATACATTTTAGCTGCTAATATAAATCAATTATGGTAATACTTTTTAGCTGCTAATATAAATAAATTATGGAAATACATTTTAGCTGCTAATATAAATAAATTATGGTAATACACTTTAGCTGCTAACAGAATGCTTTCGTTACTATAATCTCAAATAATTTTTTTTTCAGATATTTGTAGTTACCATAGGCTTAAATACTAAACATAAAAATAACTGGTAAGTAAGTACTAAAATTTTATCACAAAATCAATAATACTAAAATCCGTTGTTGGGCAGTAGTTCCAGAAGATCCAAAAGATTGTGAGCATCGCATGAAGTAGATGGTATAGGCTTGCCTAGAAAACAACAATATCGATGCATAATACTGATAACCATGCTCGTTGACCAAGCTGTACATTACTCCAACATCTCCACTAAAATTATGCTAATATGTACCTTTAGTTTCAACCTTCAGAAAGTCCGAGCTCCCAGTAACGAAGATGTTATCGTTGAAGTCTCCGTCTACTGCCACGGCGATGAAGCTAGCAACGTCTGGGATCGTGAATACAGACACTCCGACACACTCTGAATGTATAAAATGTCATGTTTACCATTTTGAATGTCGATCGGCATGTGTAGTGAAAACAGAATTGTCCGAATAAAAAACGGTCTTTAAGATTACAACTTGAACTTACTGTAGTTGACACTCAGCTGCATATTTGGGAGGAAGTACGATGAACCACCAAGCTTGTACACTTGGATACTCTGATCAAAATCCCCATTCACTGCAAACATGTATATCTCTCCATCCATTAAGGTTGCCTGAAAATTAGAGAAAACACTGGTTTCCAAATCATATTATAACATATCTCTGCAACACTTTTGTTAAGCGAATGACAACTGTATTCACGTTAGCGCATAGCAACAGGGTTAGCTTACCGCTTCCACGTCCACAGTGCTAGGAATATCTATTGCCTGCTTCAGCACAAATGGAAATGGCAAATTTCCATTATATCTGCAAATAAATTTTACAATAAAATAGGTTTAGTTCTTCTGCTGGACTCCATACTGGACACCCGGTATTATTATCATCAGGAGTCTATCAATAGACTTGATAGACTCGATCGATAGATAGACATTGATAGACTCTTGTTATCATGTAACATCCTGGCATATACCTACATACGCCATAACAGGCATTTTGTCTACTAACTCTCCCTACTGGGCATGTGATCTAGTTGTAGAGGTACGTACTCGTAGACATCCGTGTTTGCGGTCACGCCAGTGCTGGCAGCCTGGGAGTTGGCGAGCACCAGTAACACACCAGTGGCTGTCGTAACAAACACTGCGTCCACACAGCTGATCGTCGGTAGCTGGTAATCCTACAGGGATGGTAAACACGAAACTCATCTCTCTTCCAAAGCCATGCATGTAAGCCTACTGCAGTGCCCGCGGAACGGGGGGGGGGCCTAAGGGGGCTCGAGCATCCAAACTTTTTTGACGCCACAAAATTAAATGAGAGATCGAGAGAGAGCGCGCGTGTGCACAGGCGCTATCACAAAATCGCTCTACTGGATCGTAACAAATTGAGCACCCCAACTTCAAAAACCGTTTAGCGACGCCTGTAAACTGCATCATCTCACGCAACTCACCCACGTTAGCATTCCAAGTCGGTACGCCAATTATACTTACGTCAAAAGTGTCGTTTATGTTGTTCCAGTAGTACACAATGCTGTGCGTCTGGTAGCCCACGCTCGAGTGATACTTGTTTGCAAATGCGATATGTAGTATTCCATCGATAGATGTTGCATCCACCTGAAGTAGTTTTGTTCACAATCAAGCAATTATAATGACAGCAGACGACCTTTCTCAACCATTTAAATGGTTAAGCGTGTCGACACAATATGGTTCTTTTTTCAAATGTTTTATGAAGATGACAAATACTTGGTGAATCTACCATTTGTTTTACCTTACCTACACATGCGAATGGTTGTTTAACATACCTTAACCGCGCCATAGGTTTCAAGATCCCACGTTTCGTTGAACTTTCCAGCTTCATCTGTCATGCAGTATAGTCGAGAGGGAATGACCATACTCCCATTAATTGGATTGAAGTTATTGGCAACAGCCAAGCACTGAAATGCACATTCATTCATGATCTCATTTATAATTAATTAAAAGGAGTTAACATACGGCCAGTGTGAATGATTATAAATAATTATTTGCAACTACTCTCAGCACATCGTAAACTCCTCTTATCCCATTCATATTATATTTATTTCATATCATTATTTTATATCATATATTATTTGATTCTTATAGCACATTCAACAGGTGTCAATGAGCGTCATTCGCACCTGCTTGCCATTCCATGGGAATGCCTTCAGACCAAGAGGCATGGTAGCAGCCAGACTCTGCCACAGGTTAAATGTTAATGTGTCGGCATTGTATTTATACACCTGGACATACGACACGGCAGCATCGCCTAAAAATAAAATTTAAAATTATACAGTAATAAAACAAGGCGTGGGGAGTCAAACTACATTCGTTGCTGAAGCACGTTTCGAATTCGCATGCACACTCACCACCGAATGCGCTCCGTTTGGTATAGCAAGGGAGGGAGTCGTTGTATAGTGCAGCAAAAGTGACGGCGAGATAGTGATTGTCTTCGAACTCAAAATGGTCCATGACTTCCGCTCCGACGGCTGGTATAGACTGCGATGAGATCATATAATTATTATATTATATCATTAATTATATCATTATGCAGCCCTTCGTTACACAGGCGCCCTAACGTTACATCATACTTACACAACGTTACACCAAGAAGCATACACTTACGCTGAATATTTCGAAGCTGTCGTTAGTCGTGTTGTACTTTAAATGCTCCACTCCACATATACTTACGCCAAATATTTCTAAGCTGTCGTTAGTCGTATTGTACTTTAGAATATTCGACTCTACACAGTATACACTTACGCTGAATATTTCGAAGCTGTCGTTAATGTTGTTGTACTTTAGAATATTCGAATCCACACAGTCGATGCTCTTGACGGACATTGCGACGTAGTGCTCTCCGTTCATTACGAATGGTGTGAAGCTACGCAGCGTGTCCGCATAGCTGGAGAACCCTCGTACAAAGCTGATGATCCTGCCAGATTCTGCGAGAGGAAAATATAAATTCGAAAAACATATCGCGTTGCGAAACCTATTGTATAGCATAGAGATAGTAGATTGCTAGATAAATAAGAGCAAGATAATAAATGACGACTGGATTATTGCCGACATTATTAGTCCTCGTAGACATTCCGAATAGAGGTGACAACAGTAATTAGTTATTAGTAACTATAGGATGAATAATGGGGCTAGTGGTAATAAACTAGGAGAGCCTCGTCTCCGCGTCAGTCTCCGAGTGAGTCTCCTATCATTACTGACGTGCGGTGGCCACAGTCTACCTGTGATGACATCCCCCTCCACACACGCACGCACACGCACGCACGCACACGCATGCACGCACGCACACACACACACGCACGCACACGTGCAGGCACGCGCACGCACGCAATCGTGAACCAGAGGGCGTTGCTGTTCTCACCATTCAGCGCTCCCGACATGTCCTCCAAGGCTTCGCACTGATTGTTGAGGCTGTCTATAATGGAGGACAGGTTGTAATCCTCCCTGTACGAGGAAAAACAACACTTGTGAGTCATTCCTGTGTACGCATCAAGTCAGACCCGGTGAGACCAAAGTTAAACATGAGAAAACACAAAGCGTGGCCACTGTTGTGGTTACGTGAATTTGATTGAGGAAATTAAATTGTGTACATGCGTACAGGATCATTTGGACATCACTTGTGATGTCAACACCATTTAGTAGTCCATTAATCTGTATATTGTTGAACAGTGGTGCGCTGCTGAACGTCACTTCTTCTAGCAATGTCTGCAGAGTGCCGTTCTTGTTGCTTAGCAGGGCCATCTCTCCGACATAAGTTACATTCATGCCATCAACGGTGCCCGCTACCTGTGCAAATAAACAAAGGACATCAGTTACATCTAGAAACTTTGCTTTGCTTTGTTTTGAATCCTATCAACAATCTTTAATCGTATATCAACAAACCTGGAGTTCTGTAGCCGTCACCAGAGTGGAGAATGTATACAAGCCTGTGATATCTTGATCGCCTGACAGCATTAACAAGGTGGCTGCATCTACCATATAACCATCTACGATGTCATCCGCTCTGGAATGAAATGGTATAAATTGAACAACTGAAATGGTCATAACCAAGAAAGACTTTTACGAGGAGCTTTGTGGGTTATAGGTGCACACTTACTGTATATTATTACTGAATGTGACAGTATCAGCAGTGAAGGTCTTGGCGCCTCCTATGGCCGTATCCACGTTCATATTTACTCCATCATCTGCCCACTGTGACACATCAACACCGTGCATAGTTTTTCCTGCAACCATACCACAGACTTATTTGCTGTCACTTATCTGCATTAATCAATAGAATCATTAGAGATGCATCAATGTTTGTCAATCTAACCATCTTTGACGAACTAACATACCATCGTCAAATGTCACATTTCCTGCCGCATTGAAGCCATCTGTGTGGCTAAATGTTTTCGTGCCAGTGAAGACGTTGTCCGCCCCATGTTGCGCAGTATTGTTGGCCACATCTACCCCATCCACGAGGCCACCTACCACCAGGTCAGCTATAACATACAAGTAACCAGTTGGTGAGTGCAAAACGACCACCAAACAAATGATAGAATACATTATACACAAGATATAATTTCATTAAGCTAATTACCTTCAAGAACTGTGGGACCTGTATACGTATGACTGCCAGTTATGGTTTGATCACCTACAATTCTCATCACAGTCATGTCGAAATCTGTGATGTTCACACCATCCACAAGACCTGCAAGCAAAATTTATTGAAAGGCACTGTTAACAGGTATCGTTTGTAGCCATGGCCTTTCATAATTTTGGCAGCAAGATGACAATATACATCATCTAAAATTAATTACATCTAAATATATAATGTAGCTGTGAGCTCAATTAGGACTATACCTCCAACACCGAGAGTGCCTAGATTGAGATATTCAGCAATGACATCAGTGAATGTGACGACTCCTTCAATGTTCTGTGATTGAGTCACACTCACGTAGGTGGAATTCAACGTCTCTACTCTCACATCATCGATCAAGCCATTCACTGTAATGTCCTGCATAGATATCATTATATCAGTATATCAGATATATCAGTAAATACTGCAAATCTCTTTCAAAGATTCTATTATTTTGATTTCACTATGAATTAATCTCACTCACCCCAGTGTAGTTGGCATTGGACAAGAAATAAAAGCCACTCAGTATCTGATCAATATCTGTCTTTCTCACAACACGGCTGTTCACGTTGACTATGTCCACTGTTCCCAGCAAACTCGTTATCAAGACATCCTGAAAGTCTACTCCACCTGGAAGTTGTATAATAGAAGCCTATATATTTACCTTTAGCATTACCTTTAGCTAACCATCCAAGATTACCAAGATTTATAGACTTCGTAAGCAAATATTTACCTTTAGCATAGATGTTAATTACCTTTAGCTAACCATCCAAGATTAGCAAAGATTTATGGACTACATAAGCAAATTCTTACCAGTGAAGAGTGTATGCGCTGATAATGTGGCGCCCTGTGTTCTAGCCGCATCCTCGTAGAGCTGAGCAATGTTCACTCCATCCACATATCCAGTTACTGTGAGGTTTCCCACGGTCTGATTTGCAGTGAAGGTTTTTAATCCGGTGATGGTAACCTGGCAAATGACATTGTGTAAAGCTATAGGTTATCGTCGTATAAAACGAGACGGAAGTAGTACTAATTGCATTACTGGAATACTTATGGGAATAATTTCGAAAAAACATTACAGAATACTCACAGCAATTGTGGTATCAACGTTCTCCTCACTCAGGTCAACGGTATCGACAGTTTTAGATGCAGCTAGTGTGACATCCGTGGCAGTCAGGTTAAGGAATGTAACTGGGCCATAAATAATGGAACCACCTAAAAAAAACAAAAACAATGCATAATTTTGATCACCCCACCGCAATCTACCGCGTGTTCATCATTACAGTTACCTGTCAAAATCACAAGATCCCGGACACAGAAGTCCTCACCTCTGCTAAGTTGCCCTCAATTCATACCCTGCTGAAAAAACACCAGACTAGATGGGCAGGCCACGTCAGTAGAATGCCTGATAATCGCATACCCAAACAGTTGTTGTATGGCGAACTGAGTTCTGGCACGCGCTGAAGTCCTTTATAGCATATCAACACAGCAACATGGGAGCAAACCGCCCAAGATCGCCCAACTTGGCGTTGGCTCATTAGTCTGGGAGCCACACAGGCTGCAGAGAAACGTAAAGCTGATGCAGAGGAAAAGTGACGCCTACGAAAAGAGTGTGCAACCAGCGGTGTTACCTCTGAAACTTCTCATCACACCTGCCCATCTTGTGGGAGACTGTTCAGCAGTGCTCGGATAGGCCTCATTAGCCATCTACGGAAGCACAACAGATGAAACCAACCTTAAGGGGTGTCAGTGGCCATCATCGCTCGCGATGGACACACACATACCTGTCAGTCTCACAGCTTCCGCATTCAGGACTCGGGCATCGACACCATTTATCGTGCCATCAGCTGTGACCACGTTGGGAGCGGTGACATGTTCAAACGTGGTTGCTGCAGTTACAGTCTGTGTTCTACCCTGCTGCATGATCCTAGTATCCCACTCAGTGATGTTTTCACCATCAACAAGACCTAATTAACGAGGGGAATCTTCACTATAAACATTGGCATTTATATTATATATAAAGCATTATATATAATACAATTATATTATATTATATATTGATATAGGTATATTAATAAATAACAGCGAGAACGCCGTATATAAAATAATGTATTGTAATTACCATGCAGTGCTGAGTGCTACTATGTTAAACACTTACCTGTGGATGTCCAAGATTCGATGGTAGTCGTGTCGCTAAAGATTTTCTCACCAGTGACCGTTGAAGCTTGATTGTTAAACACAGCGTCTGCTTCTAGCAAACTAAGGTTTACACCATCAACTAGATCACATGTGATGGTACCCTGGAACTGCAGGTCATGTCTGATAACCTTCGCTCCAGTCACTGTTTGCGAGGAGCCAGCTGTAAAAAGCAGAAGACATTAATTTGCGCCTATAGCCGAGATCCACAAATATGTCCTGCAGATGATGATGTTGATATGTCATAGCTCAAGCTCACCAATAGAAGGACTCTGGTATAACGTGTCAGTTTTCAAGGTCATTGGGTCCTCTCCGTTTAGCAGACCACCGAGAGTCAATGTGCTGACGGTCACGCCTGCTTCTGCAACCATGTCGTTGAAGACGAATGCACTTGGGAGAAACTCGTTTGTGGATAGCTGCACCACGTGTGATGGCATGGTCAAGGCGTTGACCGCCCCAGTGACCGTCAAGTTGCCGAATGTGGTACTCTCTGAAGTGAATGTCTTTTTTCCCATAACAACCTGGAGTGAGAAATGCGTTTAATGAAACTATCCATTCTTAAAAAATGTGGTATTACTGTATCATCAAAAAGTAATTCCAAAACATAATTACAGAAGACAAATGGGTGCATTTACCATTGCCGTGTCCTTTAGAAGTGAATCTGCGACGAATTGTGACAGATCTATGTCACCGACAGTTCCAGTAACCATGAGATTGTTGTCCAACCGGACACCATTGGTGAAGTTCTTCAGACCGGACACTTGGGTGTCAACGTGCGACATAGTCCTTAGGAAGCTTTGGGGCACGGTAGCACCGTTCACGTCTCCCGTCACTTGAAGATTTCCAGCCACCTGTGAAGTAAAGATTGTATCAACGTTATTTCACAAGGATTACCAGTGACGGAGAATTAACCAAGAGTGGCAGCAAAATTTGCTGGTAGCTGGTCTTTATATAACGAACTTACCGTCAGCATGTCCTGAGTAAATGTGAGTGCAACACTGATGCTGGTCGAACTTAGAGAAATGGAGGTACTCGACCACAACGACAGGCTAACATCATCAACCTTGCCACCAACAGTGATTGGGGAACTGAATGTCACATTACTAAAGGTCTTCTCTCCTGTATAAAACAACAAAATCGTTATGTCCGCTCATGCTTGGCTATATATCTTATGTCAAATCGTTAAAAAAAAGTTAAATCGATCTTGTGTTAAATCGTTACGTTAGTTTTGCTAGTATGTTTGGTTAAAAGTCACGGTTTTGTAGCACTGCTAACCTTATGGACTGCTTCCTGATAATCAGATAACTATAACTAATAGGAAAACGCGTGCACGCACCTGGGATTATCTGGTTGCCGACTGTTTTAAGAGCAGAGCTGCTCATTTGTTGAAGATTTACGTCGTTGATAGTTCCTGCTGTCGAACTGCCAATATGAAGGTCACTAGAGAATGTCTTGCTTCCAGAAACGGACTGAGCTTCACCGGACAGCAGAAGGTCTGGTTCTACAGGAAAATGAAAGAAAAACAAAAATATGCAACTGTTGCATCGTTGAGGAGGCATATCACAATTGTTTCCATATGTATATTGAAAACGTATACTTACTGTTAGTGTCAAGGATATCGATGCCATCGATAGACTTCCCAGCCACCATGTTAAGCACACCAAATTGCTGGGATGCGTTGAAAGTCTTTGCGCCAGTTATGGTTTGCAGGGTTGAGTTTAACAATACAACGTGTGCTGGATCAAGACCGGCTAGGGTGTAACCACTTGCCAAGGTTAAACCTGAATCCAGGTCGATGTCACTGAAGCCCATGGATGCTGGAACATTCCAAAAGATGCCACTCAAATGATACCAAAAAAGATCACCAAAAAATATGCCTGCAATTCAAAATGAAATCAGGAACATGCAACGTAATTGTTGTACCTGTAATGGTTTGTGATCCAGCAAGACGAAAAGCACTCGTGTCAAGATCAACGATGTCAACTCCATCTATCAGGCCTGGCAGTGGAACCTCAAGATTGGTGAGCGTCGCTGCACTGCTAAATGTTTTATAACCTAGAAAATGTGCGCAAAGTAGCGCAATATGAGGTCGGCTCTATTCTGTATAGAGTCTAGTCTTCACATATATATATATATATAGATATATATTCTATATATCTGATATTCTGTATATATCTTCTATTTCGTGCATAGTTACTTATCTGGATGAATTACTTCGTGCTTTGGATTAGTTCTATGCCAACCTGTGAATGTTGTGGAGACATTGTAATACACTGCGTCGGTTATCAAGTCGGTGACGTTCACACCATCAACGGTCCCGTCAACTGTCATTGCAGTAGCAGTCAAGGTGGTGTCAATAAATTCCAGTTGACCTATATTAAAATATATTAATAATATAATCATTTATTTATATATAATTAAGTTATAACAATATTTAATAAAATATAATAATTTTCAAGTCCGATGTGCAAACAAAGCGAAGAGCGAATGCCATCCATAGTTACCGGTCACGTGTTGTTCTCCAGAGGTCATCAGAATATCGTTGGAAGAGATCATTCTACTATCTACAGTTCCATCCACTGTGAGCCCACCTCCTACAATGCACGTTACAATACAATGCAGAAACTTGCATAAATCTACCTTATTTTAAATGAAGTTGTGAATTTAGCAAAGCATGCTAGTATCAAGACCCACTTGGAATATCCAGGGTAGAACTGAATATTAATTTAATTGAGATTACCAAAGTCGAGGTCCGCTAGGATTATTTTATCTGCTGTAATATTCATCACTGAACCATCGATCCATGCGATTCTGTCTTGTGCAATAGTGTCCAGTGTTCCAGAGGCAGTAACAGCAGCGTCAAACTGGATATCGCTGAAGTTCATGTCCATGTTGAAGTCCTGCGATCATGAATGCACCAGTGTGTACAGGCAGATAACATGGTTTTTATATAATTTCCACAGCAAAATGAGAAGTAAAATTAAAAGCAACAACATACCTGCTGTTCAACTCCTGTAGCATACACAGCAATTTCACTAAGACGCTCGATGTCAACATTAGTATTGATGGCTGGGGCATAAATGTCACCTTGCACAGAAACTCCTGCATTCGCGTTAACAGCTTGAAACTGCACTGCACCTAAAGAATAGCAAGGAAAACAAATTCAATTGTAATATTCTGCTCTGGTGTTCTTCAGGATTTAGAATGACAGTGAATATGAATATTGTTAGAAATTGTAATTTATTTACCAGCGATAGTTTGCGTGGTCCCATCAGTTCGCAGGCTCCTATCTATGACTGCTTTAACTGCGTCCAAACTGCTATTTGTGGTAACGATGTCTTCCATCATGCCAGGGAAAGTATCAAATTCGCTTTCGTCGAAATGAAGTACGTTGGATTCTATTAAGGGTGCAGTCACGACACTGTCAGGGCTGACCACTATATCTCCTGTTAAAGAAATTGGCAAGAAACTAAACTATAACAAGTGTATGCAATGGTTTTTCTTAAGATGGGTCTGTGGTTTAAGTATGTGGATTTGTGACATCGCTATCAGTAACCAATCAGTATACCTTGGAATGCCAGGCTGCCAGTAAAAATTATGGGATCATCGGTGCTCAGTGCAAGATTCGTAGTATGAAATTCGCCTTCGAGGTTCTTGTAAGCCGAGTTGATTGTATCCCACCTTGACGTCAAAGTATCACACCTGAGAAAAACAAGATCCCATGCTATTATCTGTTACGTTTTATTAAACCTAGCGGTTCGCCCGATATAATATTACATGCAAACCACGTAACGCCTATATACCTTGTTTGATAGACGTCGTACATGTCCTCAATCGGGGAAGTCTTGTTAAAGTTCAATTTATAGGTGTGTGACAGACCGCCACTGTGAGTGACATCTCTGTAGACGCCAGCAATGTGAAGCTCCGCAGTATCACTTGTCGTAAACGCCTGGATTAAGGCTATATTAACCAGTTGGGTATTTGTAGGTGGTGCCGTTATCTGCAAAAAAGATGCATATTTAATTACAAGTCAAAACGTAATGGGCATGAAGGTAACAGCATCGCGCTGAATCGTGACAACGACACACACCTGCTGTTGGGTCAAAGTGAATCTCCATCCATTATATTCGTACAGTCTCAAGCCCTCGATCCGGTCCGCAAACGCCAGAAGAATAGTGTTAGTGTCAGTTAGCAAAGCTTTAACTTTCACTGCCCTAGTTAAACTGAAGCCTTGGAATGGAACGAACACGTAATCCACATACTTGTAAATTACTGATGTAGCCGGACTTTCAACTCCGTCTGTAAAGAAAAGTGATATATATATATAGTATTAATTTCGTCAACACTTGAAGAACAATACATGAATTTGACCCGTTTAGAAGGACTGTAGAATAAAGGTGAAGGTGAATATGTTATAACTCGCCAATTATTTCCATCTCATTAGCAACGGCCAGGAAGAATTCCTTCTTCCCATTTATTTCCACGTGGAAGAATTCAATGTCGGAGGCAGCGTAAGTCGGCAGCATCTGAAAGCTGGTGAAATCCTGCTCATGTGGTTCATAGACGAAGATCTCAGACTCTATAGCTACGTTTCCTCCATCGTCCACATAATTTGCAACAGCCAAATATTGCTTGTCATAGATCGTAAAAGGTTCGATGTCTGTCGCACCGCTGGTCTTCACTCTGTAGGCGCTGTTAAACGCAACATCTGAAAGAATACGATAAAGTGTGAAACAACGAGTTGTACTCTTCCAATCTGAAATCATGAGCCAATATATCCCTAAATAATCATTACATATACAGAATTTTCGTTTGAATTACAGAAATGTTAGTTGTTATGAGAAATACTTGGTATCTATCCACAGCATGAGCAAATTACATCCCGTAGTAACTTGCCTTCCCACCGGTATATGAAGCTGTAAGCTTCTACATCCAACTCTCCGTTGATTTCAGCAGCATATGTCGCAACGGCGAGATGTGTCACACCATGGAATATGAATGACTTTATCTGTGATGCCTTTACTTGTCGAAGACGCTGCACCAGCAACCACTCGTTATCAACATGGGTGTATATTGGTGATCCAGTCCCATCTAGAAAATACCGTGCAAGTGACGTGTTTCAGGATAAGTAACAAGTTTCATCAGGATACGCAATTTACGCATTATCAATGTGTTCCAATCATTCAGTTTAAACTTACCGTTCTTAGCTACGGCGACATACGCCTGACCCGACATGTAAAATGGTTCGATGTCATCAGCATTGCTGTGAACGTCGACCAGGACCTTGCTTAGATTCTCCAACACGCAGCCATGAATAGAGAAGTCGCTATTGCCTATATTGATGACTTGATCGGAAGGAACATCAAATCCACTCAGCGGCGCTATGTCGTGTATGTTAGCGACGGCCATGGTCTCAGTCACCGTGATCGCGTGTAGCTGGAAGTAACCTACAATACGACCTTGTTTTTAGTATTTGCTGCCCACCCGCGTACGCTGCAACGCCAGTAGCAAACCGTTGACAGCATACGTACTAGTACACGTTTGATTGTAGGAAACTCAAACTCAAATAAAATAAAGTAATTGAAACGAGGAAATATAGTCAGAATCAATTCGGTTGCAACCGTATTTCGTTAATATATAACCTGAGGAGGGTAGTCGATCCGCTTTCACTGGACTCCTCCCATAATTCCTGGATTCGTCCACTGAATTTGGATTAACAAGTTTCATTTACACTGTTATACTTTGATGCACATCTATCGACACTACACGATGCTACCACTAACTTCTCTGATCTCTGTACAATGACAGCGGCACATCCCTTTTAGCTATGCTGTGGCCTCCTGCTTCTGTCTCATCATCTACCGCATGTCCCACCGCTCTTTTGTGTAGCAAAAGCTGATCGCGTATGGATTCATCCACACTCCGTTTGAATGCGCTTAATCGCTTCGTGAGCACATCTATAAAATATCGCTTTCATCGGTAAATAACAAGATAACGAAGCGCACGAAATACAGTCGAGGAAGAACGAATTTTGCAGGAACAATTATCTGAACGAGTCCATTTTCATTTCAGTTCATCGGCATTTTTTCGTTCAATTGTATTGTGCTGCTTAAATCGTGTATGCATAGGTCCTTATAGTCGAAATAGTAATTTTAAGCTCACGTGTTCAAACTATTAGAAAACGCGCTATTTCTGGACATTGCCATCTTAATAGTTAACATGACTATGGTTTAGGCGTTGTATACATTGGCATTTTCACGACAATTATTATAAGTTATTCTCACGATCCAGTGATGCTGATCTTTTGCCTATCACTTCAGCTCCGTTGACAAGCTCGGCTACATTTTCTACGGATGCCTGAACATCCATTATCGCTGCATTCATACGGTATAATAGCAGGGCACATGCTAGTAACCTGTAGACAAATAAACAAGAGCGCTTTTGATCCTATTTCTCTTCATCTGGGAAGAATACAAGGCTATAGCATGTGCAGAGATTTGTAGCACTCCTTGCGCAGCGTTATCACAATAACCGCGTCGGCAGTATTGAAATTGTCGTTTCACCAAATCGCTTATTAGACTGAACGCTCAAAACATCCCATATAATGCGTTATTCCAAACGTATCATAATGTCAAGAGCTCATAATAGAAAGCACATAATCGAGCTCATAAATCTTTATTATGAGCTGTTGATAATCTCAAGAGCGTATTAAGAAGGTACTTCTTTCTACGCTCTTGATAATATCAGGAGCTAATAATAACAAATTTGTCATTATTAGCTCCTGATAATATATATATAAGGATTAAGGACTACAGAATTTAAAGCGGAGCCGTATCCTGCGCCAATTGTTGTTGAATGGGAGGTGGGAATAATTTACTAACCTAACAACTCTGGCAATGAAAAAGACATTTCCACAGTTACGTAAAAAAAACTATATACGTATACAAACATGGGATACGATTATGCTGAATTAATGGTTATGTTCTATTATTTATCACAGTTATTTTAGGGGTATTTATACTTCTTATACATTTATCAAACTTTCGCCGACCTGCCAACGGCAGGTTACTGAATTAGAATTAAATACAATAGCTCACGATAACATACATTATACCATGCAACTACACGGATAATTCACATCATACACATGTGATGAACTAATGTACGTCAAAAACGCGCGAAAGAAAAGACAACGAAAATACCAAACTAATTAATTCATCCATATTAAAAGATGTTATCAAAGCTTACAATAATTGCGCACATCGTTTTATCTGAGCGTTAATTGTAAGGCCAAAAACTATGTATATGTAGTGTTCTATAGTAATTACTCCACTTCACACAGTTCACACAGTTAATTGACAGTTGAATTAACTAATGATTATAACTAAACAACTCGGATTTAACACACAGAGGAATAATTTGTAAACACTGTGTGTTTAAGTCAATTGATAAAGGATATAACATAATATAATCAGGAGTGAATAATAATAGGTAATAATCTATGATTCACTCTTGACATAATCATATGTTCACGCACGTACCTGGTGGTGTAAACAATCATTGCATCAGTGTGCGTCAGGTCCGTGCCGCTACGTGCTGGTAACTGAGATAGCTGGGCAGTTTGCTGCGAGCCTGCCGTATAAACACGAACTTATGAACACTGCTCCCACGTGACCATCCGCGCCACGCGTAGTAGGCGGTGACCACGCGTGCGGGCATAACCTTGGCCTTTGAATCACTTCAACCTGGCTTTAAATTTTCATCTAGGAAACATTTTGCATCACTGCTACAGTATGAGCTAACAAACACTGAATCCAACCACTATATTATGAAAGTTCAAGTTAGTTGGGTAGATATATAGTTATAGATGACCAATAGCGTGTACCCAGTACTGACATATGGCTTCATGTTTAAAATGAGGCCCCACTAAATGTGTAGGTTCTAGTTCAACAATTTATTATATATTTTCAAATATTAAAGTAGTCATCTATGTAACACAGTCCCCTATTTAATAGGCCGGATGTATTAACAGCGAGGTTGAAGTGCATGGTCACCGCTTACTACTGTGGCAAGGGTCTTTACGTGGCAGCATCCCCACCTCGGGTTTATACGGCAGCAAACTGCCCAGCTATAGCTTAGTTACCAGCACGTAGCGGCACGGACCTGACGCACACTGAAGCAATGATTGTTTATATGATTATATCGGGAGTGAACATATGATTATTATCTATTGTGCGTGTTTGTGTGTGTGTGTCTGTGGGTATGTGTGTTGTGTGGTGATGTGTGCGTGTGGTTGACGTGATGTGCGTGCGCTGTGTGTGCGAGTGAGGTGTGAATGGGCGATGTGTTGTGCGTGTTTGTTGTGTGTGTGTGTGGTTGTTTTGTAGTGTGTCAGGCACAACGTGTGCGTTGATGCTGATTGATGGTTGCGCGTCGTGTGTGTGGGTGTGGGTGGTTCAGGTGTGATGATGATGTGGTAATAGTGTGTGTGTGTGTAGTATGTGTGTGTGTGTGTGGTGTGTGATGTGTGCCGTGCGTGACGTGTGTGAAGAAATGATGTGTGTGATGATGTGTAGTGTGTGTGTGTGTTATGTGTGTGTGGTGTTAAAAGTGGTCGGAAAACCTTATGTATGCGAAAACTCATTAGTGGTTGATTTTGTAAGCCTCATGTGATGAATGATAATAATGACTAGTAGTATTCACTAGTCTACTCACTGGATTAGGCGATTAGTGTACACAGAGTTTCTAACTCGCATTCTCTCTCGCGCACAGCATTTTGAACTTTGACGAATGTGATATTATTAGGGAGTGGTAAGTTCCTAACTTTTCTTAAACTACATCGTTGCTATTTTATTGTGTGGGGGGGGTCCTAAATGTAGGTGTCGATCTGACAATGATTCATGTACTAACACTAGAGTGCACACATACAATTTCACAGTGAAACCTGATGTAAGGATTATTCCAAGCAACCACAGTTTCCTTTTTCTGGACAGCTGTTCTACCTATTATAGCAGTGAGTGTGACTGAGTGATGTATTAACTATTTCTTTATTTTGGTTTAAATGTAAGTATCTTTCTGAAGGGACAGTTGTTGATCTATAAACGGTGATCTGTAAGTTAAGCTAGCCTCTGTCATTGCCTCTCCGACCACCTTCTTTCTTTATTTACGCTGTTCTAGCGCACGCATTCCTGAAGGCAGGCAAAGAGCTACTGAGTCCTGTCCACAGGAAACGAAGGGAATTCGTTCGGTCTGGGACCACGGCTTCGCGCGTGCGCTGCGCGCGACGCGCTGCGAGCTTACATTTGCGGAGAGGACGGCGAGCGGTAATTGTGTCGGACACACTGGGCGCGGCGTAACGCGGGTTCGTGCGCCGGTAAGCCGCAAGCGAAGACGCGAGCGCGCCTCGTGCTACATCGAGGGGCGGGTGGTCCCTCCGCGTCCGCCGCGTTAGTACGTCAGCGAAGCCGTCCAGGCTTGCCGGGTGACAGTGGGGGACGCTGCGGCGGGCTGGGACGACTCGCAGCCGGCTTGGGGCGTGGCTGCCACGGGCATGGCGGAGTGGCGCGAGGAAGTCGTTAGCTCGCTGCTGAGGCGTTCCGCACGCCGGACCTCGTAGCCGAGCTTGATTTAGGCGCGTGACTCGGGTGTCCGTCCGGGGCGATGGAGCACGCGAAGATTGTTCGCAGTGCGATGCGGCAACCTGTGCGCGTAGGGTCGACGCCGACGACCGCCGCGAGACAACCATCGAGGAAGGAACGCGAGGATCGGCTGCGCTAGCGTCTTCGGCACGCGGCTCCAAATCCCTTGCCGAGTCTCACGAGGTGCTGGTCGGTCAGTGGTGAGAAGCGTTCGACATACAGTGCAGTACGGAGCGAAGGCGAGGCGGCGGTTAGCGGGTGGGATGGTGTGGTGCGAAAGCGGGGAATTGTTTCTTGATTGAATGTTTTCTATAAATCTTGCGGGCCTCGCTCTGTGGTTCAATGGAGTTAGGTGATGTGGGGATATTTGGTTTCAGATAAAATAGGATGTAAAGATTGATATTAGAATATTGTAGTATTTTGTGATGACTTAAATGATGGATACCATGATTTGCATGTGGTGCATTACTGGTTATATCAATAATCTTATGAACATTAATTAGTGTGTAGCATTTTTCTAATAAATAAGTGCATAAGAGAATGAATAGTGTGAATTTTCAAGGTATATATATTTAAAAAATAAATAGTATGGGATTCTAGTTTCGGGATTATGCATCAAACGCGACAGCGCCCGATTGAGCAGTGTAGAACATGATATATCTCTGACCGTCTATTAAGGTTTCATAGTCGCCAGGATATGGAGTGTTTTGTAAGGTTTGCGTGTGGAGAGTTAGTAGGTGGGTGGGAGTTTATGTAAGGTTGGGTGGGGAGTTAGGAGTGCGGTGGGGAGGGTGTAAGGTTGGGTAGGTCAGATAGGGTGGGTGATAGTGTGTTTGAAAGTTGTGTGGGAGGTAGCGGGTGTGTATATGGAGTGTGTAGGTTGGGTGGGAGTAGGGTGGTGTATGAGTGGTGTAAGGTGGGCATTTTGGGCAGTAGGGGTTGGGTATGTGAGTGTTGTAAGGTTCTTTTGGGTGGGGTAGGGTGTGTTGAGTGGAGTGTAAGTTGCGGTTGGAGGTAGGCGCAGTGTGTGATGATGTGTAGGATTTGGGAATGCTGGGTAGGAGTATGGGTGGGTATGTGTGTGTAAGGTTGGGTGGAGTAGGGTGTGTATGAGTGTGTGTAAGGGTGGGTGGGAGTAGGGTGGTGTAGAGTGTGTGTAGGTTGGGTGGGGAGTGGTGGGTATGGTGTTAAGGGGTTGGGTGGGGGTAGGTGGGTTGAGTTGTGTAAGGATTGGGTGGAGTAGGTGGGTATGAGTGTGAAGGTTGGGTGGGAGTTAGGGTGTTTGTGTTTTTGTGTAAGGTTGGTGGAAAAGTATTGGTGTGTATGGATGGTAATAGAGTTGGGTGGGATAAGGTGGGTATGAGGTGTGTTAAAGTTGGGGGAAGATAATGGTGGTGTGATTTGGAGTGTGTGTTAATAGGGAGTGGGGGGAGTATGGTGTGTATGAGAAGATATTTGTAAGGTACGGTTGAGTAGATGTGGTGTATGCGGGTTAAGTGTGGGTGGTGAGGTAGGGGTGAGGTATGTGCATGCAGTCGCGTCGTACGTATTTGTCGTGCAATGGCGATAGCCTGTGCGCTGTAATTTGGATCTAATATTGAAGGCACGTGATATTTGCAGAAGGAAAGGGTCGTAACGAATTGAGATGGAGACGAACACCGATGTTTATGAGACGGAGCTACAGTTTTATTGCGTCGACTATCTGATTGCTGAGCGAGGACATCACTAGCGACGCTTCGCCGCCACGGATATTGTCATGACCCGAGTTCGGCGGAAATGCGTTCACGCGACAAAGTATTTCAAGCTATGCATTACACGCTTTTTATTACGAGGTTTTTGAAGTTCTCGGATATCTGATAATACTAAATTTTGAAGTATGATTATATGACGCTGTGAAGTGGTGGGTTGGCTATAACTCATGTTGCAATTAATGCCTGATTGGAATGTGTGCTGTTTTGCAATTTTTTTATGTAGTTAACCTATGATTATTTATCTATTGTCAGTGTGTCTGTCGGATCTGTCTGTCTATCGTCAGTGTGTCTGTGTTTGTTGTCTATCTTTTCTGTATGCTGTCTGTCTGTCTGTCAGTCTGGTGTGTCTCTCTGTCCGATCGGTGCTTTCATCCGTCCTCCATCATTTGATTTATCATCGTTTAACTGATCAATTGTCTCTATCTGCAACCTGCACGTAGTGGTATCTAATGCTCAAGCTGGATATTAATTTGTAATTAAATAACTTTAATAGATTCTGAAATATATAAAGAAAGACAATGTCAGCCTTGTCAATTTAAGGCCGCGGCGCCGGAAAAACGCCGTTACTTTCAATTAGATTGGCGGTATTTTTTGAAAATATGATTAAATGAAACTGATAAACAGAAATGGCGCCGATCGACCAAAAAGATTGATTATCTATTATTATATTCTATTAGCTACCTATATATATAGATATATATATTTCTTATATTTATATATATAGATATCTATATTATACACTCTTAGGTATATTTGATATGCACTGAACAAAAATGGACTTAACAGTTCATGCTTCATACGATGGCCTGAAATGATGCAGTGGCTTTACAGTGGAGTAATCTTAGAGAGCTAGAATGGTCTGTCATGAGCGCTATTTGGTGAGCAATAATGATTTCATGGTGTATGATATGAGTGCATTAGCAGGTCTAGTGTGAAAGGGCGTAAGTCCTGACTAACCTTGCATGTATTTAACGAGAGGAGCGCGGGGTCTGGTACGGGCACCGGTGTAATGGGCACGA